CTTAGAATTTAGCCTGAAAAGGGTTGAGGGTGTTGTTAAAGTATCTTAGGCAAAGGAGTGCACATTTGCATTTAGAACAGTTATTTTGGGAACTGTAGAAAATACGTCAGGGCCAGGATGGAGAAACCTTGAGGATGGAGGCAGGGAGCTGGTTAGGAGGGTATGGCAGTAGTTCAAGGGAGAGGATGAGTGTCTAATTCATTCATTCAACAGACATTGGATTTAGGAATTATTAATTAGGTTGAACCTACTAAGAATTCTCCATGGCTAAGGAGAGGGAGGAATCTAACGTGATTCTTAGGTCCAGGTCTGGTTCACTGGTAGATGATAGAAAATGCTTTAGCAAAGTGATTTAGGCTGAGGGGGTACATAAGTTTTTGGACATACTGACTTTGAAGTAACTGTATTATATCCAAGTGGAAGTGCGCAGCAGACAGTTGGCTGTCCAACATCTGCAGTTTAGAAGAAAGGCAGTGCATGATTAAGTTTTTTATTTAAAAGTTTGCAGGTGAAGAAAACCATGGGAGTCAGGGAAAATACTGGGGGGCAGAGGGTGCTGAATCGGAAGCCCTTAGGGACACTAACATTTAGTGTGAGTCAAGGAATGGATTTCAACAAAGAAAGCAAACTAGCATGGGATGGACCAAACAGGAGGAAATTCATAATCAGGAGATACCATGGAGGCCAAGAGAGAAGAGCAAGAAAGAAACCACCCACTGGCTCAAGAACTGTGGAAAAGACAAGACAGAAAGTGAACCATGCATATTTGATTTTTCACAAGGGATTGATGGTGACTTTGGCAAGAGCTGTAGTAGTAAAGAAATAGGGGTGAATGGGTGGAGGCCGGTAACAGATTTAAGGATTGAATTGGAAGTGAGGAAATGCTTTAGATTGTTAATTTGGGATGCTAGGGAAGAGAGAGACAAGTATGAGGGATTTTTTTTTTTTAAGTTGGCGAATATTCAAGCAATTTTTAAAGACACACACAAAACACCTTGTAAATGGAATGGGGGATGTGGGAGGCTGATAATCAACTAAGGGAAGTCCTTGAGGAGACTGATGGGTATGGAGCAGAAATGGAAACTAGCTCTCAGGTGATGGGATTCATTTCTGAAAAGGAAGCAAAAAAACAAAAACAAAAAACAGTGTGGATAGTTGGGGTTGCAGGTAAGTTTATAGGGAAGGAGTATTGGAAGCTTCAGGATTCTTCTCTGAAGGATTCAGTTTGTATTAAGAAATAGGGAGACAGGACTGTTGGAGAGTGTGGGATAAAGGGCAAGAGGGAGTAATTTAACAGTTGTTAAAAAGAAGAGAACATTTACATGAAACATGTAAAAGGATAAAGATTGAAGGCCTGGAGGAGCAGGGACTATGACATTCTTCTGTTTTTGCCTAGTAGCAACACAAATTTTCTTAGAAATCTGTAAGACCGATTACTCTTCTGCCCATCCGTAAGGACGTTATCCATACAGAGAAGATAACACTTGTAACCTTGTATTATATAAAGTACTTATCATCGCCCATATGAGAATTGTAAGCTCGTAAAAGATAATAACTATATTTTTTCATTGCTGTATCCCCACATCCTGTCACAATATTTCATCACAGGTAATTCTCGACAAATGTTGGTTGCATTTTTAAAATTTCTAACCTGAACTTGTGTGCTGTGACCACCATGGATTGAGTCTTCTCTGCCACTAAAAAGCTGTTTTCTAGACTGTGATCTGAGATGGTTTGGGCTGATAGTCTATATTCACCAGTACTTGTACAGTTCCAGTGAAGGTTTCAAGTCTAATACTTTTGGCATTTGATATAAAATTATTTTCCCATTTTATTTGCTAATTTATCTATAACTCTGGCGTTACTCTTGGTTACATTTGTCTGCTTCTATCTGATTTAGACTGCTATAAGCATTATTTTGTTTATTCAGAGTTTTCTTATTCATGTTAATTATCTGTGTTTCTTTATTTGCTCTCTACATTTTAAATAGTTTCTTCACTTTGCTGTTTTATGAGAAGGCAGTAGGCAAAAGGAAGAAACCCCAAATCAGACAATTTTACTGCTTAATAGTTTTTTAATGCATCTTAGTATAGAGATTGAAGTTGTAGTTAACAGCTAGAGTGATATTTTTGGCCTGCCCTTATTTATTAATTACTAGTGCAAAGGTTATTCAAATTATGGTTTATCCAGGTCAATTTTACTGTTATTTTTACTAATAGCATTTATTCTACTTAAATTGCTTCAGCTATAAAATGTTTTTATTATAACATAATGCAGTGCAATTATTGCTTTCTGTATTCCTTTGAAAATTCATTCTCTAAACATTTATGAAATTGTGGATCGTTCACCAACTACGTCTTACTTACTTAATTAAAGCCTTTGCAAAAAGTTTCATAGAATGACTGAGTTCATTTGTACCTCTTTTTTTTTAAAGAATAATCTCTAAAAAGTCAAACCATGATTCATGCAAATATAAAATGAAAATATGTCAAAGATTTTATTTTACTCATTAATTAACAAGCAAACCAGCAAGAAGGCAAAACCCTTTTAAAAGAAAATTGGAAAAACAGACACTTTTATAGGCAATCAAGAATGCCTAAGTGAATTTGCTAATAAATGCAAAATTGGTCAATATCCTCAGGGCAGTAAAATGTAATCTTTTGGAGTCCTCTCTTCCACCAGGTGGAAATCAATTGCAGAACACGATTTATTTTTATCTCTAGGGACACCAATCCATTTGAATTACCTTCAGTTTTCTACAACTTATGAAACTGTAAAACAGCCCAGTCAAAGTCAGTGAAAGACGCAGGCTTCTGTAGAGTCAGGTAATTCCACAGGGTCTGTTAGACATTGCCCAGCACTTCGCTGAAAGAATACCCAGTAATCTTTGTATCCCTTTCAAAATCTTGACCATATTTTCTGATACTTGCCTTCCTTTGTAATTTCAACATCTTCACCCCCTTTTTCTTCTCTTGTATACTACATTCTCTCTCCCTCAGTGTTTCTCTCTCAGGGGAAAGAATTCACAATTCCAAAGTTTTAAAGAATGCAACAGAAGTCCAGGTTTTGCCTTGGGCTTCCTCATACTTGGGCAGCTAGAAATGTAGAAAACTGGGAAGAGGTGAGCTGTGGATGCCCACAATGTAGGTTCAGACTGCAGTTTCCCAGAAATATAACCATTTGGACTAGTCAAAGAAGGTCCATATCATTACATTAAAATGCCAGATTATCTAGTTTTTATAGTATCGCCCTACGTTTTTACAGCATAGTATTGTTTAGAGAGTACTTGCTGGTGTATTTTCCATGTTAATGCTCAACACACTTCTGTGAAGTAGCCCAGTGTTTGTTTTTGATCCTCCTATTTAAGAGATCCGCCTATTTTAGAGAGTAAATCAAGGCATAGAAAAGTGAGTTGCTTAAGGCAGCATATTAAAAAGAGGTAGAAATAGAATTTTTACTCAGGTGTTTTGAACATTATCCAGTACATATTCCACTATGCATCCTTGCATTCAATTCATGGGGTATTTATTGAATAAACATTGTGTTCTTACAATAGAAACATTCTATGCCTCTGATTTTTATTCCAGTTTATGTAGAAGGAAATCTTAATTGTGAACTATTAACAAAGTTGATGTTTTATTTATATTTGTTAGTAATTTGTGTTTTGTTTTTGTTTATATTTTGAGGGGAAGGCCAAGTAGCTACTTAGATAAAAGAATTGCTGAGTGGCTGAAGAATATGGAAGACAACTATAATTCCTACACATTCTTGTACGTTTTAGTTGAACAATGAGTGATTACATTTATTTACCCAGTCCCTCTTCTATAAGGCAACAACTGGTAGTTTATCCTATTGAGAAGTGTTGAAAGGATGCTTGTTAGCAGTAACTGCTCTTGGTTTCAGCTTGTATCTTACTTAGCTTTTTCACTGTTTTGTGGTTTCTTGGAGGAAGAATACCTGTAATACACATTTGGAGATTGTTGTTCTGTAGTGTCAATGAAATGTAGGGGTGGAAAAATGTCATTCAAGACTCCCATACAAAATGTCTATTGCTGCCTATATTTTGCAATGGGAAAGTAGCCACAGATATTGGGTTTTTTTCCTCATTAGTATTTTAGGATTTTCCATCCTAGTGGAAAGATATGATTTGGTTCATCCTATTTACTTTGTATATTAAAGTACAGTAGAACCTGCCACTTTTTTTGGAAATGCAGCATAAGGGTAAAGATAAATTTCATATCAGTTCAGCGAGTTCTGTTTAGCAGTGTATTGAAGTTGAAACTGAATAAAATATTTGGTTTGATTTTTCTGTTCAAAATTTTACCTTGATAAGTACAATGTTTTTCTACATATATCACTAGGCAGTAATGATTACTTCAAAGCTTTGCAAGCCAGATACTACACCTGCATGTTCTAACATAGTTGCTGAATTTATTCCCAAGATGCATGTAATGTATACTTTGTATTATTGAGAATGAATAAAGAAAAGTCATAATGATGCCTTCCAGCTGTGCAAGTTAATATTAAAATATAATTTGTTTCCGTGTTTCACCTAATAGGTCGTCTTCATTGCTATACTGTTTACTTAAGTGAACAATCGAAATGTTGCTGTTTATCCTAAGGATTTGTAACTTAAGGTCTTACAGTGGCCGGGCGCGGTGGCTCAAGCCTGTAATCCCAGCACTTTGGGAGGCCGAGACGGGCGGATCACGAGGTCAGGAGATCGAGACCATCCTGGCGAACACGGTGAAACCCCGTCTCTACTAAAAAATACAAAAAACTAGCCGGACGAGGTGGCGGGCGCCTGTGGTCCCAGCTACTGGGAAGGCTGAGGCAGGAGAATGGCGTGAACCCGGGAGGCGGAGCTTGCAGTGAGCCGAGATCGCGCCACTGCACTCCAGCCCGGGCGACAGATCGAGACTCCGTCTCAAAAAAAAAAAAAAAGATCTTACAGTACAGACTTCTATAACTAATGAAATATTTTTCTTTTTCCTTTCCAGGATCAGCTCAGCTACTATTTAATAAAACAAAATCTGTAGAATTCACGTTCTGTAATGACACTGTCGTCATTCCATGCTTTGTTACTAATATGGAGGCACAAAACACTACCGAAGTATATGTAAAGTGGAAATTTAAAGGAAGAGATATTTACACGTTTGATGGAGCTCTAAACAAGTCCACTGCCCCCGCTAACTTTAGTAGTGCAAAAATTGAAGTCTCACAATTACTAAAAGGAGATGCCTCTTTGAAGATGGATAAGAGTGATGCTGTCTCACACACAGGAAACTACACTTGTGAAGTAACAGAATTAACCAGAGAAGGTGAAACGATCATTGAGCTAAAATATCGTGTTGGTAAGACTTCTATGAAAGCTCTTTTTTTTTATTTGTCCTGGTACAACCTGATCCTCTTTCGAGAGGAGGCCAAATGGGGATAGGTACTCCTTTGAATCAAAAAGCAGGCTATTAATAATAAATGTTGATGTAATGTTTAGCAGGTTTAAGGTTGTGATTTCTATCCTATTTGTTAGTCTACTCTTCACAGTAAAACACATTTACTATTTAATTTGTATTACTTGTTAATTTGTATATTGTATGGTTCTCAAACTTTTGGTCTAAGGACCATTCTATTTGGGTGATTGGTCCTGGGGTAATGTACTCTTCATTTCTGTTTGCTGCCATCCAAATACTTTCTTTCCTGTGACTAATTTTAAAGTCTCTTTCCAATTATTCAGCCTTCTGGTATTTTTTTTTTTTAACCTTACACTTTGACCAAGGGTTGGCAAGTCCCAGCCATGCTTCCTCTGGAGAGAGTAGAGGAGAATCAGGAGATTAAATCACATTATCATGGATGATTTCTTCAGATTTTCTGTGCTTAGCCTTACTTTGGTCTTCTTTTTCTTGGCCAAAATATGAGAGAGCTAGGGATTCAAATTAATTTATTCAAATTCAGACTTGATTATAGCACCATGATTCTGCCCTTTTTGTCACAAACTTGGGTTGGTGAGGTGTAGAAGGTAGTAAAATTAGCTGAATAGTCTCCTCTCTTTGCTCTTTCCTGCTGTGCTAGCTGAGTTCTTCAGCCCCATATGAGTCTGTTCTTTCTGTTTTGAAATCTCTATTTAAAATTACCTGTCATACAAATGGGATCTAATTAAACTAAAGAGCTTCTGCACAGCAAAAGAAACTACCATCAGAGTGAACAGGCAACCTACAGAATGGGAGAAAATTTTTGCAATCTACTCATCTGACAAAGGGCTAATATCCAGAACCTACAAAGAACTCAAACAAATTTACAAGAAAAAAACAAACAACCCCATCAAAAAGTGGGCAAAGGATATGAACAGACATTTCTCAAAAGAAGACATTCATACAGCCAACAGACACATGAAAAAATACTCATCATCACTGGCCATCAGAGAAATGCAAATCAAAACCACAATGAGATACCATCTCACACCAGTTAGAATGGCAATCATTGAAAAGTCAGGAAACAACAGGTGCTGGAGAGGATGTGGAGAAATAGGAACACTTTTACACTGTTGGTGGGATTGTAAACTAGTTCAACCATTATGGAAAACAGTATGGCGATTCCTCAAGGATCTAGAACTAGAAGTACCATATGACCCAGCCATCCCATTACTGGGTATATACCCAAAGCATTATAAATCATGCTTCTATAAAGACACATGCACACGTATGTTTATTGTGGCACTATTCACAATAGCAAAGACTTGGAATCAACCCAAATGTCCATCAGTGACAGACTGGATTAAGAAAATGTGGCACATATACACCATGGAATACTATGCAGCCATAAAAAAGGATGAGTTTGTGTCCTTTGTAGGGACATGGATGCAGCTGGAAACCATCATTCTCAGCAAACTATCACAAGAACAGAAAACCAAACACCGCATGTTCTCACTCATAGGTGGGAACTGAACAATGAGATCACTTGGACTCGGGAAGGGGAACATCACACACCGGGACCTATCATGGGGAGGGGGGAGGGGGGAGGGATTGCATTGGGACTTATACCTGATGTAAATGATGAGTTTATGGGTGCTGACGAGTTGATGGGTGCAGCACACCAACGTGGCACAAGTATACATATGTAACAAACCTGCACGTTATGCACATGTACCCTAGAACTTAAAGTATAATAATAATAATTTAAAAATTAAAAAAAAATCTCAAAAAAATAAAATAAAATTACCTGTCATATTACCCATCATGGGTTAACCACATTCTGTGAACCTTAACTCTGGATAGCTTCAGTTCTGTTCAGTTGGATCAACTATTTGCCTAGCTTTTGTAAAATAATCTGCTACCAGATTAGGAATGGGGTGTTTGGTTTGATGAAATGTTTGGACATTACTTAGGATTGAGAATCAGGAGGTCTGAGTTATAGCCCCTGTTCAGCAACTTACTATTCACCTGTGTGATCTTGAGAAGGTACTTAACCGAGTCCAAGTGACCTCATGTCCAAGAGATTACAATAGATACTTGCTTTTATGTATTCTATAGTCTAATGAGCATCAAATGAGATCCCATGTAAACATGTTTTTTTGTAAACCAAAGTGTGTTGTAAACATTAGTTGTTTTCCTGGGATGTTTATTTTGTGAAGGAAGGTATCAAGTTGTTGAAGTTAGCCTGGAGCATTGTGAGAGGGATTTGTGTGCAGTGAGGAATGGGCAGGGAATGGCTCCGAGTAGGCAAGGAGAATTTGAAAGGTCTTTCTGCTAAGAACTCTCTCTTACATTGTAGCTTTTACTGTTGATATTAATTTGGGCAAAGGAGCTTTTGTTGTTGTTGTTAAGTATACCTTTCAGGAAGGGTGTAATCAGTCAGTCATATGCACTGCAGCTAACTGGAGTTAGATCATCTGAGAGGTATACTGGAAAACTCAAGATACGAGATTCGAAAGGCCAGAAGATGAAATGAAGATGGAAGAGAAAGGAATGCCAGGATCTGAGAAGAAAGCAGTTTATTATTTTGCATGTGATTGAAAGATTGTTTTATCTTTCTTTGTTTTCAAAATATCCTATAAAAATAAGAACTAGACTTATTTTGGGGGCCACTAAAAGGAGAAAGTGTTGTTTTATTATAGAGAATGTAGAAAATTCTACCAGAGGTTTGAGACATTTGGCTTTGCATCCATTTTAATTTTTTGAAATAATTATTGATTTACAGGATGATTCAAAGATAGGTTCCATGTGCCTTCACCTGGTCCCCCCAGTGGTTTCCTCTTAGGTGACAATATCACAATATGAAAATCAGGAAATTCACAATGGTGCAGTGTGTGAATGATTCTCTCTCGTTTTATCATGTGTATATTTGCATAACTACCTACACAATCAGGACATAGACCTATCCATCATCACAAACATCTCCCTCATGCTTATTCTTGCTAGTCATACCAGCACCTCCCACTGTCCCTAACCTGGCAAGCACCAATTTGCCCTCCATATCTATGATTTTGTCATTTCAGCAATACTATATAAATGGAATGATACAGGATGTGACGTTTTGAGGGCTTTTTCACTCAGCACAATGCCCTTGAGATCTATTCAAGTGATTGCGTCTATCAATAGTTTTTTTTTTTCCTTTCTTTTTTTTGCTGAGTAGTAGTCCCTAATATGAATATATTGCAGTTTTTTAATCATTTACCTACAGTAGGACATTTTGGTTGTTTCCAAGTTTGGGTTGTTACAAATGAAACTGCTGTGCACAATTGTGTACAGTTTCTTGTGTAGACACAGTTTTCATTTCTCTGGGATAAATGCTCAGAAGTATGGTTACTGGGCTGTATGGTAAGTATATGCTTCGTTTTTAAAGAAACTGCCAGACTTTTCCAGAGTGGCTATTTCATTTTACATTTCCGTCAACATTGTAAGAGTGATCTAGTTTCTCCACATCCTCAGCAGTATCTGGTACCACTATGTTGTAACCATTTTTAACTGGAAAAAAAAAAACAAGCAAGCAAACAAACAAAAAACAGTTAAAAACTTACCTGCACAAAAAGGTTAAATGGGGCAGGACTCTTACTATGGAGAATAAGTTTTTTCTAGTAAGAATACTTACCTGTTATGGACTTTGAGGATTTAGGCATTAGAAACCATTTTTACTATGTTGTGATTTTTGCAAATACAGGCATAAATGAGAAACAGAATTTGCTCAATAGAGAAGTGAATTATACTTAATAGAATGCAGATAATAGTGACCATTCTTTGTGCCTTTTTTTATTTAGAGGACTAGGACTGAATACATGGAAACACTGTAAGATATAGTTTTATATACCTCTGTGCCTATGTATAGTGTAGTCCATTGGAAGGAGCACTGGACTTGAATTTACAAAGCTGTTTTCTAGACTTCACTGTTTTCTAGACTTCACTGTTTTCTAGACTTTACTGTTTAATAGCTTTAAAAAAAGTTAGATAAGAAACTCAACCTATCTGGCCCTCAAATTTTTCTTAGTACAACAAAGATGCCATCACCATCATGGAAATGTTTGAGATATAAATAATATCTCTCTTACTTAACAAAATTTTACTAAGTGCCTACCATGTGTCAGGTACCATGCTAGGCATCACAGATTCCGTGATGAAGAAGACATCATTGCTGATTTCAAGGAAGTAGTTGCAGTACAAATATGTAAAGTGACCTAACATTTATTTGCACATGTGCCACATACTTTATGTAAGTCGTGTCCTGTTATCCTCTCAAGAACTCTAGGAAATAGATGGAGGTCTTACCATTTAACAAACAGGGAAGCAAAAGAGATTCAAGGTTGTTCAAGGTCAGAGTAATAGCCAGGAATTACACCTAGATCTCTTTGGCATCAAAACCCAGTATTTTTACCACCATAGTATGTGGTTCATGTGACAACAGCTTGTAAATAACTAAATACTAAATGCAAGTAATAGTAATCATAAAATTTGTCGTTAATATTTCTATTCTGTTAGCAATACCAAAACTTGAAAACGTAAAATTTATTTTTCTCTAAGCTATTAGAGTTTTGTTTAGAAAGGTCAGTTCAAGTTCCACAGAGTTGCCAATTCCATTATTATCAACAGGACATACGGTCTGTTCATGATGAAGACATGAAGGTATTGCAAGATCTTTGTGTTAGTTTTCTAGTGCTGCATAACAACTACAAATACAGCAGCTTGAAACAATACTCATAGTTCACAGTTTTGTAAGTGGCAAGCCTGGTCATGGCGTGACTGGGTTCTCTGATCAAGGTCTTAAAAGACTAAAATCAAGGTGTTGCCCAGGGCATACTTTCATTTGGAGTTTGGGGTCTTGTTCTAGGCTCACATAATTATGGCAGAATTCAATTCCTTGTGATTGTAAGACTGAGGTCCCTGTTTCTTTGCTAAATATCTGCCAGGGAATTCTAGCAGCTCCTAGAGATTGCCCTCATTGCTTGCCCCCTGGCCCCTTGCATATTTAAAGCCAGCAAAGGAGAATCTTCCTCTTGTTGAATCCCTCTCACATACTGAGTTTATTTTGCCAGGAAGAACCCAGACCCTTTTAAGAGACCACTTGATTAGGTCAGCTCTCTCTCCCTCAAAAATAATCTCTCTTTCTTAAAGTCAGCTGATTCAGGATCTTAATTACGTCAGCAGACTCCCTTTTGCTAGGTGGTATAAGCACGGAAATGAGATCCAATACATCCACAGTCTCAGTCTCCCACACACAAGGGGAGGGAAGTATAAAAGATGCATGGCTAGGGCAGTGGTTTTGGGACCACCTTAGAATTCTGGGTTTGATTAAATAAATAATGGGACTGTAGCCTAGCAAGTCAACACATCAAAAAAAGCCATCACAATCCTGAAACATCAAGTAAAAATTTGGTTTGCATTTTAGTATTGTAAATGTTACTGTGGGGTGTGTGCGTAACCTGGTGTTCCCTGTGTTTGTGGAGGTTTGAAGGAGACACTTGGTTGATAGAAATGGTGTCTTCACTTTTTTAGGTTGTCTCATTTTTGTACAGTGGTAAGACAAATGAGGTCCTGGGTTTCTGGGTTTTAATAACACTTAAGCTTGGAAGTAAAAATTAGACACTCGTTCGTAGACTACACCCTTGTCATATCACTTCTTTGCCTTTCTACTAGCAAGAAGTTCATTTTCGTGAAAGCCATTCTGCCTGTCCCGGAATTGGTGGAGAATGATAGACACAGTTGTCAGCCATAGCTTGGGTAGAATAAGGATGTGAATGTTGTTGGCTTACCTTTATTAATCTTGTGATGGAAAAATATCTGACATTGTTCTTAGTCCATTTTAAGCTTAATTTATGTTCTTAGTGGCATAGAAATTCAGAGCTGAAAGAAGTATCATGTCTCACTCTCCCCTTGAGGAACAAGAGTTAACGTCATCTGACAATACTACCATAACAAATCAATAGATTAACAGGCATGCAAGTGTCTTTATATAAAATGTTGGGTTTTTTCTCCCAGCATCTCAGTTGGTTCTTAAACATCTAATTCAGTGATCCTCAGACTTTTCCCACTGTAACAAAAAGAGGAGGAACACGTTCATCAGTGACTGTAGCTCAAATCCAGCAGAAATGTGCAACAGTGATTTCAAACAGAGAATTATGGATGCCCTTCTCCATAGATTGCCCTCCCCATCCCCCACACACACCAGGGAACAATTTAAAATCCTGGCACAATAGTGAGAAGGGAGAGTGACAAACTGATAAGTTCCAGTTAAGAATCACTTAGGGTGGGTGTGGCAGCCCCCGCCTGTAATCCCAGCACTTTGGAAGGCTGAGGCAGGTGGATCACCTTAGGTCAGGAGTTTGAGACCAGCCTGGCCAACATGATAAAACCCTGTCTCTACCAAAATTACAAAAATTAGCTGGGCATGGTGGCGCCTGCCTATAATCCCAGCTACTTGGGAGACTGAAACAGGAGAATTGCTTGAACCCGCTAGGTGGAGGTTGAGTGAGCTGAGACCGTACCACTGCACTCCAGCCTGGGCAACAGAGCGAGACTCCATCTCAAAAGAAAAAAAAAGAATCATTTAGACAGTATTTTTTGTTCTATAATCTTACTCTCTGTCGTTGAAATGTCTCATATTTCTTGTTTTCACGTAGAATCTGGGAGTCATTCAGTAGTCATCTAGTCTATCTCATCATCTAATTTACGAATTATTTCTATCACATCTCAAGTAGCTGGCGATTCAGATTTTTTACCAAAAACTTGACGTGATGAGACATTGTTACTTCCCAGAGGATCTTGGTCTGTTTTCAGGCAGTTTCAGTTCTTCCTTAAGTCAAGCTAAAACTTGCTGCTATTCTCACTCACTGGGAGGGCTGTAGTTCTCTCAAATTTATTCCTCTCTGTGATGAAAATCTCTGTTCTTTTAGCCATTGCTCATGGTTTCAGGATCCCCATTCTAGTCATCTTCCTTTGGAGCAATTCCCTGTTATATCTTCAAATGTGATGAGTAAAACTGAGCTCAGGACTGCATTTGTTGGTCACACCCTTCTCCCTTCCAAATTACTGCTGCTGTAACTTTCTGACAGGTCCTGCTTCCCTGTAATCCATTCTCCATGTGGCTGCCAAAGAAGATTTGAAATAAGTCAGGTTATTTTTCTTCCCTGTTTAAAGCCTTCCAGCTGCTTGTCATTGCTCTTAGAATAAAATCCAAACTCTCCCAACAAGCTGTTAAGACTCTACATGGTCTTGCCCCAGCAAACTCTTCCCATCTGATTTCATCCCTGAATTCCAGCCACAGTGGCCATCCTTTGGCTTCTCAAACTTGCTGTTACTTTGGCATCTCTTCCTCTCTGTCTTCACAATGTAGGCTCCTTTCCATCCTAGGCTTAGTTTTGTTCCTCTCCCTAGAGGCCTTTCCTTACTGCCTCAGCTTCTCCCACTCTGTACACTCAGGGTCCCCTGCATTGTTCACTGCTGGCCTTCAAGAGCATAGAGGAGTTCCTCTCCATGGTGGACTTTCAATAAGTGTTCGTGGAATAAGTGAAAAATGAGTGGTCACTCCAGGGTCGAAGGCACCTCTTACTTTTATTAATATATTCAAATTAATATTAGTATATTAATAGTCTATTAATATATCCTAAATTTTTTGTGTGTATAGGGGCAGAGACCAATGAAAGAACATTTCATTGTCAGCTCATCTTGAATATAAGATCAGATATTGGCCAGCAGGATTTGCTGTTTAACTAGAGTGAGATGTGGGAGAAATCAAGGAGTCAGGTATAACTCCAAGGTTTTCAGCCTCAAGCAACTGGAGAGATGGGGTCACCACGACTGAAATGAGGAAAATGAGAGGGGGAGTTTGTGGAGGATGGGCTGAGGGCAATACCAGGATTCAGTGTGGAACTTGAACAGTTAAGATAACTGAAGAGCCTGAATTCACTGTTCCTCAGTTTCTATGACTATAAGGAGGGGTTAATAATTTCTCACATGATAATTGTGAGGACTTGAGTTTAGGTACACAATTAAAAACAAAAGCACAGAGGAAGTAAGGAAAAGTACATCGATTAAGCATGGCTATTAGACCATACAGCTTTACCAAATCCATTGGGGATTAGATACAAAAATCCAAGCATGATCTCCAAAATTTTTTCCTGGTAGGGATTTAGGCTATACTGAAGTGACTTTTCTTTGGTATAAGAAGATACTCAGTTATACAATTGGAAATTAAGGTATTGATTCAGAGTATCCAAAAACATCTCTCGGTAGAGATCTACAACCAAAGAAGCATAAAAAAAAAGGTCTTCCATTCACTCATGAAACTGTCTTATGACTATCGTAACCTTCAACAGCAAATGTATTGAGTCTCTACTACATATAGAACAAAATGCTGGATTCTGAAAAGCTAGTATCTGTAAAACAGAGTTTATAATGTTGTTGTATTCTGGGGATTGATATAAGCATTTTACCAGGATTTATTATAGCATTATAAGCTTAACACAAGAAACGTGGCTATCATTATGGAGTAAAAGGTTGGAAAATTCCTCACCTGTTGACCTGAGGGGTAGTGCATGGTCGAATTAGAAAGAAGTGTTGATTTCAGAGGAATGCCAGTGCTTGCTTAAGGCAGTATCCGAAGTACTCTTCCAACCGCATGGCCCCTTGTACAGGCAAACTCCGGAATACTTTCAGTCCATTTACTTGGCTTTATTGTTAGAGCAGAAATTTCATGGCTAAAATTATGGTCTTAGGGGTTTATAAGAGGCAATTAAACTTAATTTTTAAAAGTTCTCACAAATCGTATTTGAAGTCTTAATATCTTAATTTCCTTTATATAGGATATGTGGATATATTTTTATGATAAAAGTAACATGTGACCCACTTAATAACAGCTTCGTTAATACCCTAAAGCCACTCATGTTACTTTACATATAAACAGTCCTTCTGAAGCCTAATTGTGCATGGATAATTGCAGAGTGAGTTTGAGAAAAGACCGGCCGGGCACATCGCTCTCCATCTTAGCCACAGTGAGAAGCGAGTACCTAGTGGTGCATCTTCCTCGCTTAGGTTCCCTGAGTCTGTCTTTACGGGAATGCTTCATTGTTACTTGAAGGCACATTCTTGGGACTTCACATACACAGCTACTCAGCACATGAACACATACTAATTTTAGTTAACTGAGTACTGGTGAGTGCTAAGCTTTGTTTTAAGCCCTTTGCATATACTTTATTGACTTTGTTAGTAGTTACAACAGTCCTTCAAGATACAGGTACTGTGCTATACTGGTGTAACAGTTGAGGACACCGAAGAACAAAGAGGTGTCAAGTGGTGGTCACGGTTCCACAGAGTGTTAAGTTAGAGTTGGGTTCAAACCCTGGCAGTGTGGCCACAGAGCCTTGTTCTCAGCCACTGCACTGCACTACCTCCTTCCGTGAAACATAGGAAAAATGTGAGAAACGATTAAGTAATTGTAGTTTTTTTTCATAAATAAAATTCATGTAAGTACATTATATGTGTAATTTGTTTTACGTATATGTGTGTATACATAAAATATATGTGTGTATATAAATATATGTAAAAATAAGGCCACAGTTTTAATTTTTTTCCATCTCCATAATAAAGCATGTATTATAGACCATTAGCAGGATTTAAAGTGTTATAGTAAATATTAATTGTGACTTTTGTTTTCTTTTTCCCCAGTTTCATGGTTTTCTCCAAATGAAAATATTCTCATTGTTATTTTCCCAATTTTTGCTATACTCCTGTTTTGGGGACAGTTTGGTATTAAAAGTAAGTATTATTTCTACTTTTCATTTATGCTTCAGTGATGATATAGTTATTTCTAGGAGAGATTATCAGTGAAATATTTAAAGTTGTACTAGGAAAAGTGCTATTATGATAAATATGAGTATGTAATTTGAATACTGCTAGTCTCCTTGAAGTATATGTTGTCACCCACGTTTTGCTGTAGTTCACTTTTAATTCCTAAGAAGGTGGTTTTCATTTGGTGTTTTTTTTTAATCTCTTAAGAATGGATAGTGGGAATATTAGTAACAACACGTGAAACCCATGTCACATTTTAATAGTCACAGAACATCTACACACACACTATGTTATTTGGTAAACAGGTGGTGACAGCCTACATTAGTTTTGAGATAGGGTGTTATACTTTGGAGCATTTAGATTCCCCTCTTTTTATTTTCCCAGTTTGAATTTCTCTGTGTACATGTGTTCACCCTTGGAAAAGTCCCATGGAACCATGTTTTGTCCTCCTCTCTGTGCAGTTCTGCAGCCTCTAAAGAAGCAGCTACCAGAGAGTTATGTTCTCTGATCTTGCTTTCCTATAATAGTAACATAACCAGACTTCCGAGGGCAGATCTTGATGCTGCACTAGATTTAGCTTCAACAATATAGAATTGTCATTACTAGGCAGATAGGTAATATGTATTATGGTTAATGTTTAATCAACCATATTTTCATATTTTGGTAAAGAAAATTTACAAAATTAATGAAGTTCAGAGGTGACAGTCTAAACTTTTAAGCTTTTTAAATACAAGATTTATTCCTTCTTTCCTTGTAGCATCCTGAAGACCAGTAAACATTTATATAGGCAAGGAATAAATACTGCTTCTTTAATTTATTCTGCAACCTTTAAACATACAAAAGCTAGCAAAATATTGCAGTGGATTGCCCAGTTGTATATTTTATGAATTTTACTTTTACTCAGCAGTTTAAGCTGTGTATATCTATGGTGATATATAAACATGGAAGGGAGATGACTGATTGATTATATGTTTTAAGCACTTTTCTCAAAGTATGGCATTCTGGAAATGCTCAGTGATTTCAGAAATGTTCTCAACTTTTGTCTGAAAGGGAAAAAGGGGGAGAAAGGAGTGGCAGTGGCAATTGTCAAGACATTTAATAACTTTTGCTTTCAAGATAGTGTCTAGACTTCTTTGTGAAATTTTCCTAGAATTTCTTAGTTTTTTATATCAAGAAAAGAACTGGCATAGCATTAAGACCTATTCTGACATCAGTGATATTAGGGAAAGCTTTTAACCATATTGGTAGAGCCAGGCTTCTTAAGCGCTAAGTCATATGATGTGGGCAGGGAACAGCGTTTTTTAAAGATCATGAAATTATTTCACATAGTGCGATTTTTTGAGTTTGGCTTGACGGATGTTTGCTGATCCAGATGTTATCATTGGTGACATTATTTTTAGTGAAATACCAGGAGTGAGTTTGTGCACTGTTGGCTGTATTTTTACAAAATGAGCTTTACAATATTTTTTCTGACTTAAAAAAAAATACATGTCACTTTAGAACACCTCATACAAAGTAGGAAGTTATTGGGAAAAAAAAAAAAAAAAAACTCATCTGTAGTCCCCAAACCTAGAAATAAACTATTGGTATATTCTAGTGAACTTCCTATTTCCCTTTCTGTCTTTTTCTATTCATTTTTGTTATGTTTTTTTAAAAAAGGTAACCATAAATGGACTCATACAGCTTATACGCTTGTACATTCTGATTTTCCCCCGTGTCTTCAGAAATCTTGTTATAGCTGCCTGTGTTCTACTTTCGTGAATGCACTATAATTTACTTAACTCTCATCTTGATGGATTTTAAGGATGTTTCCAATTTTTTTGATACTATGAAAATAACTCTGCTAAAGATATGAAGCCTGGAAATGGCAGAGATATTTTAAGACTCTAGATACATACTGCCAAAATGTTTTCCAGAAACGTTTGTATCAACTACTATTGCAGATGAGAATACCTGTCTTTCACCTCAGTTATAATTCTGATATTATAACTCCAAAATCTCTGCTAATTCGATGGGTGAAAAAGCATCTTATTTTAATTGAAATTTTTGTGTTAGTAAGGTGGAATGTTCTTTTTTTATATTTTTTATACTGGTCGTATTTTAAGGAACGTGCTTATAAACCTAAAGAAATATTTTGGTGGGAATTTTTTGTTTTGGCTCATCTTGAAACAGGTAGATGTGTGTGTATGTGCATGGAAGAGGTATGTCTATGCACGATTCACCCAGCCTGTGCTCACGTTTAAAGGTGTTGATGATGATAGTAGCTAGCCATTTGTGGAGCTCTTGCTCTGCCTGACAGGCTCTGTGCAAAGTACTCTGTATCTGAAATGACATTTATTTCTCCCAGGAACTCTATGGGCGTAGGCACTGTTGTTATTCCCATTTTGTAGATAAGAAACAGGCACAGATAGATGAGGCAATTTGCCCGCAATCCCCCAGCCGTTTCCTGGTAGTACTAGGATTTGAACTAGTACTGTGTACCTCTGCACTGTACTGCTGCCTCCCCGTTTTGCATTTATTTTGAGGATTTTCTTTCCATGAAGGGTGAACGTGTACCTAAGCACATAATAGTGAGTAGTTAAAACTTATTAGAAGAGCAGAATGTTGACCTAATTTGTTTACTTACTCTGCAAATACCTAGTGACGGGATGCCTGCTGATTGCTGGGCACCGAGCTAGCTACATGCCTGAAATGTGGGTGTGACGTGCATATTGCCCTGGCTTTGTAGCACCCACATTTAAGTCATTGCAGCCAGGGAGACATGTATGTATGTGCATCCTGTGCTTTGTCACATCTTCAAGATAGTCATGGATCCAAATCTGACTTTTCTGTTAGTGCCTCCTGTTGATGGCCTGAGCATTCCACCAAATAGAAACAGAAAGCACCTCTATTTTCCACCTGCTTCGATGTATGTTTTTTAGAATCCAGTATGGTAAAGCCCCTAAAGCATTCATAATAACTCAGACCCATGACTTTTATTTTATAGATTTCTAGTTCTCTTTCACTTTTTCTGATTACCATTTGTGGTCTGTACTTGGCTATAGGGGATTTCTCTCAGTGGTTTTTCCAGCTCTGCGTGTGAGACTTTGTGATCCAAGACAAAACCTGGACCTTTACCAGGCTAAACTTTCAGTAAAGACAGCAGGTTATGCCCTCATTTGCTCACTGAGGAGAAAGAGTTTCTTTATACCAGAGCTGTATCTTGAATGGTATCTCAGGATGCCATTGGTCCTCCTGAGGAAGAAGCCCGAGAAGACTCTTAAACTCCCAGAGCCCAGCCAGGACTTGGTGAGCCCTGGACCATGTGTCAAAGATAAAGGCCTCTCACAGGGAAATGTTCCTGAATACCTTCATCTTTAGCTTAGCTTTAACTTAGGAAGTTTTAAGCAGAATCTCTATGCTTAGCAAACGACTCTGAGATTGCTAGAATCAGACACCAAGCCTTAACTGATAGTATTGCATTTAACACGCTTTGTTTGTGTTCTGAAAACTACACCAACTCAGTTTGCCACTCTACTGACAATTAAGTTCCTGGCTGATTTTCAGGATTCTTCTTTCTCACTCTTTGATATCATTTTAAGTTCTGTCCACCTACAGCTCCAGTTCCTGCAGGATTAAGGTCCAGCTGTATGTAAAGAACTGGCTAACATTTTGAAATTCTTTGAGATAGGTCTGTCTGTTCTTTCTTTGCCTTTATAACTGTGTCTTATACAGGCAATACTTGCTTCAAGACCATAAACATGACCTTGTAAGCTGAAATTCTGCAAAACAATCTTCACGATGAATGGGAAAAACTATTATTGTATTGTTCCATGACCTTAAAAATGTTTTTTGTTAAAACCTTAAAAACTCTGTTATTATCAATAACAATGACATTGAGAAATGAAAAATAGTAAAGCTAGTATTTAGTATGTGGTAAATTAAATCATTAGAAACATTGAGAATGAAAGTGTGTTATCAAGAGTAGTTTGAACAACACTTGTGTATTCTTCTTGTATAACTTTGGATACAGAGCAAGCGTCTTCTCTGTGGCTTGGTGAATTGTCATACCCCTTTCTAAGTTTGGATCAGTTTCTACCGTTTTATCCTTTGCACTCTCAATGTCATGAAAGAATTCCTTTAATGTTTTTGAATGTTTAAAGTTTATTTTATTGCCAGTCACTTCCTCTGGGACAGCTTTATTCTTTTTGTTACATCCTCCTCACTTTCCTCATTTATATCAGTAAGTCCACCTTCGCTGAGTTCTTCTGGCTTCATCTCTAGAGTTTCTTGCATTGCAGTAATGTCAGCATTCCCACAATCAGCTATTTCTTCTCTTATTCCGTTTATGGTCTATTCAAATTTCACTCCCAGCATTTGTCAGTTTTTATTTCTTTACTCTTTCATGTTTCTTGCCTAGTTTCCTCTTTTGATTTCTCCATTATAAAATGTCACATGGGTTTATCACTGGGAAACAAGGAGGTAACAAAACTCCATACTTTGCTGTCTGTGCATGACCTAAATGTCAGATGTACAGTGACTAGTCACCAACAGTCTTCAAAAGAAGTGACATGATTAACCACTGATCATGATGGGGCATCTGCTGTTTACATAGTTATTTTTGAACTGAAGAAATAGCAGTGAAGTTGTACTTCATGCAGTTACTCAGTTAATATATTGTGGTAATTGAAATTTGGACTATTTGTGAGGAATTTATTTGATTAAACCATGGTAACTGGAATTCCTATCAGAATAGTGCAAAGTGAGGACTGCTGTAATTGATTCCAAATTTAAAATTGTGTATTCTAGGCATCTTTAATTTTTTTTCAACTTTCCCCTCCCTACTCAAAATTGTTCCACAGAGATTTTGGTTATGGCTCGGATGTCTTTGAGTAGATGTTCCTGTAGAAATCATTGTTAGAAAATTCAAGGAAAAAAGTTCTCATTATACTACCTTGAGATCCCATTAAGTCCTTGAGTTTTGACTT